ACCAACAGTTGCTATGATTCAACGACTTAATATTTGTTTTTGATCGTTGAAAACAAACCGGAGCTTGAGGTATTTGCGAACTGCGTGCTTAGACTGACGAAAAAATAGAGTGAAGTGCGCAGTGGTTTAGGATATCTGCGTGCTTTGTGCGTGAGTCAGGCTGTTGTGGCGTCAGCGGGTTGCGACACCGCGCCGACATTTCGCACCGTCCTATACTCAGATAGGACGCACTTCATTTGTTTATTAATCATTGAAACGTTTGCAAATTAATCTATACTAGCAAACCAGTGAACCAAATGTTCACCAAAAAAAAAATGTATTTAATTAATTGAGAACTTCGGAGATTTTGTGTGGTTTCGTTTGAAATAGAAATCACGTGATTTCTCAAAAACCGGAAGTGCTACGTTACTCACATCCGGTTTGTAGTCTTATCAGACTATTCTTAACTTATAACTTAAACATTCTCTATATCTATCTCTTACGGTTTGGCCGCTGAAACAGCACCACGGACGGACGGACGGACTTGTCTAATAGATAAGAGATATATAAAACTCAAAGATGACCGACTGACTGACATAGTGATGTATCAACGCACAGCCCAAACCACTGGACGGATCGGGCTGAAATTTGGCATGCAGGTAGATGTTATAACGTAGGCATCCGCTAAGAAAGGATTTTGATCAATTCTACCCCCAAGGGGATAAAATAGGGAATGAAAGTTTGTATGAAACTTTGTCAATTTTAAACCGATCGGTCTGAGACTGCGTGCAGGTATAAGAAGAATCATAGATGAATGTCATTGTGTATAATACAAGCCTGATAACAAAAACTGTAGTCTACACTTCAGCTCTACACCGAAGCGAAGCGAGGGCGGGCCGCTAGTTGTCAATAAAGTATTTGCATTTCTGATTTGTCCAACTGTGAAAAGTTTTAAGACTACGAATAACTTATTATTTGTTTGAATTTATTCAGCATAGTCTGCACTTACTTTAGTTTAATGTTTTACTCATTAAAAAAAACTACTTTTTAAGGTTTTCTCAAAATTAAATATAACATGATTGTGAACATAAGATTTTTTTTGAAGTTATACTTCTTTAGGCGCGTTATGAAAAAATGATGAGAGTGAAATTTTAAGATGCGCGCGCATCACTGTAACACAAAATTTTAACAGCATAAAGCTCGCTAAAGCGACCAACTTCATGCGTTACTTTTGTGTTTACCGCACATTAAGAAAATCTACCAACAAAATAGAAATAGAATCTCTATTTTGTGGGTGCTAACGACTGCATTGTGAAGGCCTCTCAAAAGTATTTATTAATCTGGAACAACGGAACCAAAGCGCGATTCAGGAGACTACAGCGCCATCTCTTGACCATTGGTGTAGTAGAACCAAAAACCACATATTTATTTTTTGTAATAAAGTAACAGTTATAGGTATTCATATTTATAATATTTATCCACATGTTTCTAGTTTGTATATTCGGAATATCATACAAGTGCAAATCACATATGTTCTAATAAATTATATTCAGTAGCGATTTTAATTGATTATTTATTTATTTTTTCAAATTAAAACTGAACTTTATTGACTGTGTCCTTTTCCAGACTTTTTATTAATTTATTGTAATTAATTATTTGCATGCAATTAAAAACTAATTTTAAACGATGCCAAAGAAGTAAAACTTCTCACGCGCCTACATAAGTACACGCACCCATTTTTTATTTTAATATTTTTACCATCTTGCTTTTCTTGAACCCTTACCGCCTTATTACAAAACGTAGACTATAGTTAAACCTGGACAAAAATTGAAGCTTTTATTTTTTTTTTTGCTTAAGAGAAAGCAGAGACAACATAAGGTTTAAACCAAGACTAACTTAAGTCTGCGTTTTGGAATGAGGCAGTCCGTCGGTCCGTTCGCAGTTTAACTCAGTGACTTAATTCTAATAAGGTATACTTAATTTGGTATGAATACTACTGTACTAGTGAAGAAAAAATAATAAAGCAAATTATAATTAAAAAAAATGGATGCGTGTAACTTATGTACGCGCGTGAGAAGTTATACTTCTTTAGCATCATTAAAAATATTTTTTAATTGCATGCAAATAATTAATAATTACAATAAAATAATAAAAGGACTGGAAAAGGAACAGTCAATTAAGTTCAGTTTTAATTTGAAAAATTAAATAAATATTCAAAATATTCAATTAAAATCACTACTGAATTTAAGTTATTAGTCCATATGTAATTAGCACTTGTAAGTAACTAAAACACGTTGTGTCTATATAGAAACTAGAAACATGTGGATAAATATTATAAATATGAAAACAGTGATCAGAGGCGACGAGCGTGCCAACATTGTTTTTGACAACGCGATCATCTTATGGAGCTCCGTGGATCGTTCAAAGTACCTTTCGAACAGATGTCTAATAAATTATACTAATTTTTGTAACACCATAGTATTAAATATCATCACGCCGCCCGTTACTAGATGGCGCTGTACGCATGGGAATCGCGCTATCCTATACCGACACCGATTGTATGGCACATCATAGGATCTAATATCATCACGCCGACCGCTACTAGATGGCGCTGTACGCATGTGAATCGTGCTATACTATACTGACACCACTTGTATAAGGTGTTCTTGGGAAATTGACCAAGTCATCGCTTCGTAGGTAGGGCCTATTGTCTTGCACGCTATACGCTTCCACCACGTGGGACGTCTTAGTGTCTTGATAATGGTATACATGTACTTCCACCCTTGTGGGATACAGTAATACCATTTCTCCTACAAATATTGAATAGTAATCACAATATAAGTATTTTCTACCTACGCCTATCTTTATTTGACGTCAGTCTTCTCACACTCCCCCTTCGCCCTCCCGCACATTCTTACAGTTTTATTAAATAATAAATATTATAAATATGAAAACAGTGATCAGAGGCGACGAGCGTCCCAACATGTGCGACTAAGAGATCCTATTACTATTTTGTTGGAAGCTTTTTTTCGAGACTTACGAGTAATGTGCGGTTTAGCGGCCGACTTCATGGTGTTACTTTTCTGTTACAGTGTTGCGCGCGCATCTTAAAATTTCACTCTCATCATTTTTTCATAACGCGGCTAAAGAAGTATAACTTCAATAAATAGTTATTTATGATACTAGCGCGGTAAGTTGGTTGGTTCTTACAAACGAGTAGACGATTGTAAGCCCGAGACGTAGTCGACGGTTACCATAGTCGCTAGTTTATAAATACCAATTCCGTACGAATGCCATACAACGTTTTTCAACACATTTGCGAGAAAACAGTATTATTTTTTAAGTAATGAAGCAAACTTTTTTTAAGAAAATAATGGCGCGCATTTCTTCGTGACGCCACATGCTAGTGGTGAAAATTAGAACTAGATCTTCCGGTACTTTTTTTATAATAAAGTGAGCCAAAAGTATAGATCAATAGCGCTTCCTATTTTATTTTATAAAGGTCAACAAACAGTTTTACAATAAATCTTATATAAAATATAATAACACCAAGTTTTTATAATTGCAAAACCAACACCGTTAATCACAAGTTACTTTCTTTAGAGAGTTATTACGTGAGAAAAGTTCTTACATAAAAAAAATACATTTGTACTGAACAATACAATTTCTCGCTTATAAGCCTTTTATATTGATATTTATTAACAGCAAAGATGTCTATATCATGTAATGCGATATTGTATAAGTTCATGACACGCTGCACAGGAGATGGCTTGCCTGCATTGGTACGACATAAAGATGTGGCAAATACCTAGTTGATGTTTTCGCAAGGATCTCACCTGCATTCGCCTAGTTATTAAAAAGACAATTTTCACTAATTCAGTGCAGTCAAACCCGTTGTGACATATCTTTATATATATAATTCTTCTGTGAGTGTGTATGTCACTGATTCACTGAACTTCTCTTAAACGACTGGACCGATTTTGATGAAAATTTTTGTGTGTGTTCAAGGGGATCTGAGAATGGTTTAGATTCACAATTTTGTCCGCTGGACAACCCCTATTTTTTTAGGGCGGTACGAAGTTCGCTGGGTCAGCTAGTATCATATAAAACTATGGCTTCTAGTTGTTGTCGCCTCGATTTTAGGTCTGTTAGTTTATATTTCTACAGAAGCTGTTGATATATGACAAACGAGGTCGACCGCATCTGTACTGCATGCTTTTCATGATTTTCTTCTGCATCATCTCCATATTTTCTACGTATTTATTATAATAAGGGTTCCAAATACTCACTGCATGTTCTAATTGAGATCTGAATAATGTTTTAAATAAATATAGATAGGAAGATAATTTTTAAATTGCTTACAAGATCGCATAACAAAACCATACATTTTAAATGCCTTGTTGATAATAATTTCAATATGTATGTCAAGATTTAATTTAGAGTCCAATATCACACCGAGATCTTTAATTGTGGTTAACTTTTCCAAGTCGCACCCATAGAATCTATATGTAAAATTGCTTACGATTTTCTTAATATAACATCGAACCAACTAAATTGGTTCGATCTAAATTTTAAAAAAAAACGTAAAGCATATTCATGGTGCCATATACCGGAGTGGCGGTAAAATTTTACCGCATGCTGTGTTGTATGGTGCGTAATTTTGAACTTTCGAATAATGTCATACAATTTTCGTAATTGATTTTTAGCAAATATGTTGAAAATGTTCTTTTTCACCATTTTTTTTCAGCTCAAATGAATGAAGATAGATATCTGCAAAATTATTTGCAAAAGTTGCAAGATTCCACCTGAACAAATTACATAAATACATTGCAAATTAAATTGAAGCTTAAAAAAATATTATCAATATGTGATGTAAATATATTAGTCAATAATTAATCATCATCATCATCATGTCAGCCGTACGAAGCCCACTGCTGACCATAGGCCTTCCCCAAAGAAATAATTAATAGTTTATTGCAAATTAAGCTTACATTAAATGATCGTTCGTTTGGTCGCCGCAGACACTGGAAAAGTTCGAGTTCGTGAAGGTGCTGGGCAAGGGCACGTTCGGCAAGGTGGTTCTGAGCCGCGAGAAGGGCACCGGCAAGCTGTACGCCATGAAGATACTCAAGAAGCACCACATCATACAGAAGGACGAGGTCGCGCACACCATCACCGAGAACCGCGTGCTCAAGAACACCAAGCATCCCTTCCTCACGGTATGTATATCGATCGATCCAAATAAATCTATATATATATAAAAGTCGAAGGTGACCGACTGACATAGTGATCCATCAACGTACAGCCCAAACCACTGGATGAATCGGGCTGAAATTTGGCATGCAGGTAGATGGATGTTATGACGTAGGCATCCGCTAGAAAGGATTTTGATCGATTCTACCCCCAAAGGGATAAAATAAGGAGTGAAACTTTGTATGAAACTTTGTCAATTTAAACCGATCGGGCTGAGACTTTGCATGCAGGTATAAGAAGAATCATAGATGAATGTCATTGTGTATAATACAAGCCTGAGAACAAAAACTGTAGTCTAAAACTGTAGTTCAGCTCTACACCGAAGCGAAGCGAGGGCGGGCCGCTAGTTATATTTATTGCCTTTTTAAAGATTTCTTTTAAATAGTCCAATTTCCACCACCCATATAAAATAGGGCCGAATTTAAGGTAGGCGGGGTTGTGGCCCCCACAAGAGAGGGGCCGGCCTCTATAACAGAAATAAAATATAACAAGTTATACTGTTATATTGTTCTAAACTTTCATGGTCACTAACACGGATTGTTACCATGTACCTTGTATTTTCTGAGTCTCCGATATTTCGACACTGTTGCAAACGCCATAATTATGGAGTAACTGAAGTCATTGCGGGAGATGTTGTTGGCAAATATATCGTTCTACCCTCTGTCGTCGTCTTTTACTGCGTTCGATACCCCTACCCCTGGTCACATTCTCACTATTCACTCGCACCTGTTCCCGACACAGAATACTCACAGTATCAAGGGCTACCGGGTTTGCTATGGCTATCGCTATCGCTTACGATTTCATTTGGTTAATTCTGACCGCCGAAGGTTTTAAAATGCCTCACGCTCATTTTCTTTAATATTGTTATTACCGATGCAAAACAAAAAAAAAGCGCGAAGCATTTAAAAACCTTCGGCGCCCAGAAATAATAAAACGGAATCGTAAGCGATAGCGATAATAATAGCAATCCCTTAGGCGATTGGCCCCCAGATCGCGGAAGGACACTTTTTCGATTCTTGCGGTTTTTACTCATACGAACCACTGGATTCCTGACACTTCACAATTAAAATATCGGAGACAAGGTACATGGTGACAATCCCGGTAATAGCTATAAAGTTATACTGTTTTCTCGCAAATGCAAAGCAAACGTTTTCTAAGAATAAAATAGCGTGTATTTCCAAGTGTTCCCTCCCTCTTACAACCTGGGATCCTTTAAAAGAGGCGTGAAGAAGCAACATGCAGGCCGGCAGGGTGAGGATGGCTGGTGTGGCTGGTAGAACTGCCGTATCAGCTATCTTCGCGTCTGGACTTCACCTTCACTTAACATCAGGTGGGGTGGAGTCGGCGCCACGTGACAGTAATGTAATCTTTCGTCTCTTTTTCTTTTTATGGCGCCTAAATGTTCCAATTTATATTGGATTTTTATGTTAGAAACTTTGACGATTGCAATACGATCACTGATCTGTCTAAGCTCGTGCTTGGGGTACTGGCATCGCTCAGTCCATTCTTCGCGTGTATAGTTTGTTCGCAGTTGCAATATAAATGTGTGTACTGGTTGTTCAGGCGCTGCGGTGCTCGTTCGAGACCGTGGACCGCGTGTGCTTCGTGATGCAATACGCCAACGGCGGCGAACTGTTCTTCCATCTCTCGAGAGAGCGCTGCTTCAGCGAGGAACGCACTCGCTTCTACGGGGCAGAGATCGTTTCTGCGCTAGGCTATCTCCACTCTGAAGGGATCATCTATAGGGATCTCAAGCTGGAGAACTTGCTGCTCGACAAGGACGGACACATCAAGATATCAGACTTCGGCCTCTGCAAGGTAACTACACAGGGCCACATATATAGGGACCTACTTTTAGACAAGAACGGACACATCAAGATATCAGACTTCGGCCTCTGCAAGGTAACTACGCAGGGCCACATATATAGGGACCTACTTTTAGACAAGAACGGACACATCAAGATATCAGACTTCGGCCTCTGCAAGGTAACTACGCAGGGCCACATATATAGGGACCTACTTTTAGACAAGAACGGACACATCAAGATATTAGACTTCGGCCTCTGCAAGGTAACTACACAGGGCCACATATATAGGGACCTACTTTTAGACAAGAACGGACACATCAAGATATCAGACTTCGGCCTCTTCAAGGTAACTACGCAGGGCCACATATATAGGGACCTACTTTTAGACAAGAACGGACACATCAAGATATCACACTTCGGCCTCTTCAAGGTAACTACGCAGGGCACATATATAGGGACCTACTTTTAGACAAGAACGGACACATCAAGATATAAGACTTCGTCCTCTTCAAGGTCACATAATATAGGAACCTGCTGTTAGAAAAGGACGGAAATTGACATGGATATCATAACATAAACTGAATTGTATAAGCACAAATTTATTGTTTTTAGATTTCACAGAATTTCATACTAACTTTATCACATTACAACAAATTTATCACAGCAAAAAAACAGGACGACGTTGGCTCCTACTTTATTGTACCAAAGGTGCATCATGTTGCGTCTCTTTCTATCTTGTAGGATTGTCGTAAAGGCATTATTATCTCTTCGTCACTACATCAATCTGTAAATACTAAGTAGATGATGAATAGACTCTATGAAGATATTATTATACACTTCTGGACACATCTATTGGCCCACCTTGTATTTTCAGTTTCGTAGCTAAAATTTTATATTAGGTCGAGCAAAAAGTTTTTATGCAGTTTTGAACCTGGCACATTCATAATTTCATTCAATAGTCTTTTTTTGAATTTCGAACACAGAATTTAAAGAAACAAAAGACAATTTGGAGCCTGTTTGTTGATATCAAACAATCGAATACTAAGAAAACTTGGTTTTATTGGTTTACTTGGATTTAATTCTTGAAAAAGTGATTGATATCTTTGGTTTTGCAACAAACATTACTTATTCTTAACATTAAGGTGAGGTTCTATCAATAATCTATGGATACTTCACCTGAAGTCGCCGCCCAAGCTGTGGCACTTATTCAGACCGGACACAGCCAAAGAAACGTGAGTGCTCAACTTAATTTAAGTCAATCTGCGGTCCGAAATGTTTATCGGAGGTACCTAGAGACTGGCGGCTTTGTTCGTCGCCAAGGAAGGCCACGATCTCGGGTCACAACTGAAAGGCAGGATCGATTCATCGTGACGACCAGCTTGAGAAATCGTCACCTTACCTCCATTGAGATACAAAAACAAATTCGCGACTTCCACGGAGTATCTGTGAGCGCTCGAACAGTTCATAGAAGGTTAAAAGAACGCGATATGGTACCACACAAGCCAGCTAATGGGCCCAAACTAACGCGAGCCCACCGAACAGCGCGCCTTCATTTCGCACGCAGTCATTTAAATTGGATACAGCAAGATTGGAGCCGTGTACTCTTTTCTGATGAGTCTAAAATTGTGTTACATGGCAATGATGGAAGGAAGAAGGTCTACCGATGTAAGGGAGAGCGTTTCGCACAATGCTGCTTTGAAGAGAGGGTTGCTTATGGCGGTGGCTCATGGACTGTCTGGGGCGGTATATCCGCGAGCGGCAAAACTCAACTTGAGGTTGTTACTGGACCACGGCTGCCAACATTAAATGCTGAAAGGTACATTCGTGAGTGCTTAGAACCTCACGTGATACCATACGCGGACTATGTGGGTCCAAATTTCCTTTTTATGCATGATAATGCAAGAGCCCATGCGGCCGGCATCGTCAGGGAATATCTTCGGGATGTGAACATCACAGTTATGGACTGGCCAGCCAGAAGCCCAGACATCAACCCCATTGAGCACATGTGGGACGAGCTAAAAACACGTGTTAGGGCTCGTCAGCCAGTTGCCCAGACGATGCAGGAGTTGAAAACTGCCATAGAAGAGGAATGGGAGATGATCCCTCAAAATTTCAGAGAGCGGTTGATAAACTCTATGCCTAATCGTATGAGAGCTGTGGTAGATGCCCATGGAGGCAACACGCGTTATTAAATTAAACCTTTGTTTGATAAAACATGTTTTTTATTCAAAAATCAATTGCCTTTAACAAGGCGCATATCCGACTTGTTAGGCATAGCTCCATGTCATATGGTATTCTGAATTCAAATTTAAAACAATACGATCGAAAAAGATGGTAAAATGTATCGGGTTTAAAACTGCATCAACAGTTTTTGTTCAATCTAGCAATCATGTTTCGGTAGGGGCCATCGAAACCTAAACTCTAAGGTGGGCCAATAGATGTGTCCAGAAGTGTACTTACTTTATGGTCTTTACATCGGCTTTATTATTAACGTTGTGACCTTTATCCAATGTGATTTAAAGAAAATTTTATGTACTAGAAAAAATACCACGTGGGTCAGGCAGCAGACGGGCCTGGAACCTGAATTCTTCCCATTATGCTACCTCGGGCCTAGTGGCCGTGTCAAATTCTTTCTAGTATTTGTTAGGCTGCAAGGTACCACAGAAAAAGATTAGGCTAGGATTAAGATTTAAAAATATAACTCAAATTTATTTAAGAATAGTTAAAATCAAATTGCTGGCACAGATTCCAAAAACATTTTCTTTTGAGCTGGTAGTTTGAAATATTTTTTTGTACTTTTTTTCTGATAAGTTAAGATTAAATAAATATAAATTGTGTTTAGGTGAATATAACCTACGGCCGCACAACGAAGACATTCTGCGGCACCCCCGAGTACCTCGCGCCCGAGGTCATCGAGGATACCGACTACGGACCCGCTGTGGACTGGTGATTATATCCTCACTACACTTGACATATCGTACTGCGGCGGTCGAAAGGTTAAACGTTCTTACAATAGGCTAGTTGACCCTTTTTGGAAAAAGGTTTTAAATGATTAATAAATGTTCTATTAGACCGAAAAAAAATGTATTGTATTTTTTTGAGACCTAAAAAGCTACAAATCTTTAATTTTAAAATAGATTTTTCATGGACATACAAAAACGCTATCGGCCATTTTAGTCTATAGATTATCTATGCTATGACGTTAACTTTAGTAAACACATAGAGAAAGGTAAATAAACAAAAACTCGTAAGAAAATAACTGACTTTATAATAAACAAAAGATGATTTCTAATAAATACCCCGAAAAATAAAGTAATTATCATTATTGTATTGTACGAGAATATAAAAACACATCCTTGAAGATTCCAGGAAAGTTGTGAATTAAAAGTGCCGAAAGAAATTAACCTACGCAACTTTATTACACTTATTCATATGTTGTATCAGTTTTATGTTTATTACTACATTGTAATACTAAATACACTGTACTTACATAGATGCCTTGTCGTTTCTCTGCTCCGCAGAGCAGAAATCGGGGTTTAGTGAAATAAATTCACCAACCATGAATGCGTCAATTCTTGGCAGATTTGTGCTTTCTGTTTTCACAAAGCCGGCATCCATAATTAGTTTTTTCAAAAAGAAACAGTAAACGGAAACTTTTATAAAGTTAAAAGTGTTTTATGATAAATTAAGTCAGACGAAAGAATCCACCCACAGTAACACGCGAATGACATTTAGTTGTTTACCATATGAGACGTCACAATCATGGCGGATGCGGCGAATAGCGTTTTTAGTGTTTAAAAAATATAGACCAAAAAATATTTTTTAAAATTAAATTTCTACAGCAATCTTCTGCTTTTATGAAGTGAAATCAATATATTTAGGTTCCTGAGACCAAATACTTTAAGAAATAAACATTTATTTAATACAATTCGACATGAGTCAACTAGCCTATTGAACAATACGGTATTTGACAGTTTTAAAAAACGATATCACGTTATTAAGTTATGTTTATGACGTCTATAAAAAGTGGAAATTTTTAATTCTATTGTGTAATTCAGTAAAAAACTAAATTGTAAGTCCAAATTTCAAGTTGCTGCGGAAACTTTTTTTGGACATATTATCGTGTCACTAGTATGTGACGTCACATGTCATTAAAACGTCGAACGATACAATGTAACGTCACCAGAGCAGGAAATTTACTACTATGTCACGTCATTTCGGTCTCGGCCATTTCTAGGCGTCATCGGTCACGTGACATTGGAGCAGAAAAAAAATTCTACCTACCGATTTTATAAAAAAGTTATTAATTGTTGTTATAGAATATTTAAATCAAATATTCATATTAAACAGAGATGCCAACAATCGGTACATTATTTTTACTGTCAAATAGGCTATCGGTCGGACATACGCCCGCCTAGAAAGGGTGCGGGTTTGAGTCCGGTCTGTCGCCTAGATCTTTAGATTCTTAAAATTGAGTTTAGATGACACTACATCGTTAATCTGGTCGGGTGTCAGGTGGGGCGTGGGCGTGGTGATGTACGAGATGGCTTGCGGCCGGCTGCCGTTCTACAACCGCGACCACGAGGTGCTGTTCTCCCTCATCGTCAGCGAGGAGGTGCGCTTCCCCCGGGCGCTGTCCGCGGCCTGTCGGGCGCTGCTGGCCGCCTTACTCACCAAGGTATGTACGAGATGGGTGGCGGCCATATGCCGTTCTACAACCGCGACCACGAGGTGCTGTTCTCCCTCATCGTCAGCGAGGAGGTGCGCTTCCCCGGGCGCTGTCCGCGGCCTGTCGGGCGCTGCTGGCCGCCTTACTCACCAAGGTATGTACGAGATGGGTGGCGGCCATATGCCGTTCTACAACCGCGACCACGAGGTGCTGTTCTCCCTCATCGTCAGCGAGGAGGTGCGCTTCCCCCGGGCGCTGTCCGCGGCCTGTCGGGCGCTGCTGGCCGCCTTACTCACCAAGGTATGTACGAGATGGGTGGCGGCCATATGCCGTTCTACAACCGCGACCACGAGGTGCTGTTCTCCCTCATCGTCAGCGAGGAGGTGCGCTTCCCCCGGGCGCTGTCCGCGGCCTGTCGGGCGCTGCTGGCCGCCTTACTCACCAAGGTATGTACGAGATGGGTGGCGGCCATATGCCGTTCTACAACCGCGACCACGAGGTGCTGTTCTCCCTCATCGTCAGCGAGGAGGTGCGCTTCCCCGGGCGCTGTCCGCGGCCTGTCGGGCGCTGCTGGCCGCCTTACTCACCAAGGTATGTACGAGATGGGTGGCGGCCATATGCCGTTCTACAACCGCGACCACGAGGTGCTGTTCTCCCTCATCGTCAGCGAGGAGGTGCGCTTCCCCCGGGCGCTGTCCGCGGCCTGTCGGGCGCTGCTGGCCGCCTTACTCACCAAGGTATGTACGAGATGGGTGGCGGCCATATGCCGTTCTACAACCGCGACCACGAGGTGCTGTTCTCCCTCATCGTCAGCGAGGAGGTGCGCTTCCCCCGGGCGCTGTCCGCGGCCTGTCGGGCGCTGCTGGCCGCCTTACTCACCAAGGTATGTACGAGATGGGTGGCGGCCATATGCCGTTCTACAACCGCGACCACGAGGTGCTGTTCTCCCTCATCGTCAGCGAGGAGGTGCGCTTCCCCCGGGCGCTGTCCGCGGCCTGTCGGGCGCTGCTGGCCGCCTTACTCACCAAGGTATGTACGAGATGGGTGGCGGCCATATGCCGTTCTACAACCGCGACCACGAGGTGCTGTTCTCCCTCATCGTCAGCGAGGAGGTGCGCTTCCCCCGGGCGCTGTCCGCGGCCTGTCGGGCGCTGCTGGCCGCCTTACTCACCAAGGTCCATATTCATTTATAACACCATTTGTTTACACATAAAAGATAACATTTATTTTAAACAATTGCGTAGGTAATTTCCACTATCATTAATGTCACATTCTGTCTAATAAATGTGTTTTTTTTATATTACATATACATATATTTTTTTTTCTATACATGTATAATTTATTAGCCTGTCTTAACTGATGGGTTTGAAGTTTTTAAGGTATGGAAATTGTATATCTGTGTTTACTGTTATATGTATATGGTATCACGTTATATATCCCCATATTGTGACCTACAGGAGCACGTTGCTATATGTATAGTATGTCACATTATTTATCTCCATATCCAGGAGCCGGCCCAGCGCCTGGGCGCGGGTCCGGATGACGCGGCGGAGATAATGCATCACCCGTTCTTCGCCGCCATTAACTGGACCGAGCTCGTCGCCAAACGGGTGAGCGCAACATGCCATGCACTTTACGCGATACTCCTTATCACACCACACTTGTTATATAACTCAGAACAACAACTAAAACATAAATAAGAGTTTAATAAAGTTATCTGAATCTTACTCATTTATTATTAAACCAAAAAAAACTGAAATATATGTTGCTATGAAATGAACAGCCTGCGTACCACTATACAAACGACAAATTGGATATCTTTGTATGCCTTGTAGATACCATACATTGTGGTTCTGAGTCATACAATGAGTTAGATGTTTAAATCTAAAAATAAATAACTATAAAATCAACGCAGACCAGGTTCGATATTACTCAGTGCTTTAGCCCGGATAACAAAGGTTTCGGATTCGAGTCCCATCTGCTACCTGGCCCGCGTGGATTTTTTACATTTTTTAGTAAACAGTTAAAGTATTGTTTTTTTTATTGAACTGAACAAGTTAAATAAACTATGGTATGAAAATTAAGCCCTTTACAGTCCATTATGCAATCGATACACTTACACAATAAGAAATTTTAATTTCAAATAATATATTTTCTGTATAAATTATTGGTTAATACTTCATGGTTATAGGTAGACCGCTTAAGTGAGACCTCCCCTTCCTCGTTCTTTTGGCATCTGCATTTAATGTAAATATCATTGCGATTTTACCATTCTGAAAGAACAAATCAATAACTTTTTTTTATTAAATCATTAAATGGATTTTTATTGGTTCAATATCAAAACCTGGAATTGGTCCCCGTTCTCGTCCTCCCCCACACCCTGTACCCCGCAGGCGAGGACTCAGTTAAGCGATCCACGTATAAAAACAAACTATAAATACAAAAACAAAACTCAATATCGTCTATAGTCCGGCAGAGATCTTTGTAAGAATGTGGCGAAACTTTCACTTTTTCACTTGTCATACTTTGTATATCCATTTACGTGGACAGTGGAGCCACCAACTGTCAGTCGCATTCACTATGATTCTTGTCGCACTATACATCGTTGTTGCGGCACTTCGCTTAGCTATTCGTGTTTGCTATTCGTAAACTTGACATCAATTTATTTGTCCTTATCATTCCTTATAAAGTATGATTAGGATAGACAGTTTTAGAGATTACAAATAGCGAACGCGAATAGCCAAGTGAAGTAGCGGCATTAAATAGGTAGCATACAGCAACTCCAAACCGATTTTATTGCTCCAATATCAAAACACCTGGGATTGGTCCCCGTTCTCGTCCGAACCGAACCGAAAAGAAAATATTTGTGATATTCAAATCCATGGTCAGTTATATATCCGTCTCTTTTCCTCGCTGTCCGTACCTGCTTTATTGCTAACAGCGCATTCAGAATTGCGCGTAGAGTCAAAGAAATAAGGTCTATATTCTTTCACATATAGCAATGAGTCGAAAAATTTTACGAGCTTGCATTTCGAACTGTCACAACTCTGACGCATGCGTTCTAATGAAAACCTTAAACAGTATGCATTATAGGTGACTAGTCAATGTTTCAATAAGCCTTATATTGTTTTTGACAATCAATGCGATCATCTTAAGGAGCTTTGCGGATCGTCCAATATACCTTTTGGATATGTTTTGTTCGTGTTGTTGTATTTACGGTATTTAATATCGTTGGTAGCATAATGTTCATTCGCTTCACGTCAAAGACTGCCTTTAGACTGCCGTTGCAGCGCCCCCTATGAGCCCCTCGTGTACTTATATGAAGCTTTACTTTTGCAAGTCGAGTACAATTGTGTTTATATATATTTTTACATAATATTTATTTATTTTCTGATAACGTAGGTCCATAGATAAATAACTTATAGTCTAACATAATGATATGTATATGAATCAGCGGCCGCCCTCAACCTCGTCTATGTCAACTTATTTGTTTCTTTTTTTAGAAACTCTGTTGTTTTTACGGGAAATAGAGTATCCTATGTCCAAAAGAGTATCCAAATCCGATCGATAATTTTGGCGTAATTGAATAACAAGCACTTTCGTATTTATAATAAATAAAAGTAATAAATATTTCTAACATTCATCAATTTACCTAGCCCCAAAATAAGCATTGTGTTGGAATGCTAGAGTAACGGATAGAATACATACATTCGATACATGCATCATCATCATCAGCCTATTAAAGTCTCCATTGCTGAGGCTTAGGCCTTCCCTTTGAATGGAATAGGGAGTTTGGGCCATGACTGCAGATGCAGTCGGTACCAACAGATTCGACCATGACCCGCCCTACGGGTCCAGTGCGGATCGGCGGGTATATAAACATAAGTATATTTATATAGAAATATGTATAAACATCCATGACTAAGGTACAAACGCTCGCATTCATCATACTAACATTTGCCCTCACCTGGATTCGAACATATCGCATCGGCGACAACTCGTAATCGCTCACGGAGGTTTTCAAAAATAATATATGAACAGGATACAAAAATGTGTGCGTGTACTAGTGTACACACGTAAGAAGTGAAACTTCTTTATGGCCTTATTTTTTTCGAAAAATGATCTACATGCAACTTTCCAGAAATATATATATAGGCGTGCGCTAAGATTTTTCAAAAACTCACCCACTAAAGGGCTATAACTACACCTTACCTTGCCTTACCTTACCTTACCTTACCTTACCTTACCTTACCTTACCTTACCTTACCTTACCTTACCTTACCTTAGCTTGTGTGAAACACGAATATTTGCTGTCGATACTTTTTTTTTTAAAGTTGACAGAAGAAGCAATCGTTCGGATGAGGTAAATAGTGCTCTTTTAAAAAAAAAGATGGCGCGTAACCAAAGAACGTGACGCGTAACCGAAAAAAATGTGACGGTAAATTTTTTTCTAACGCCGATAAAGAAGTTTCACTTCAAAATAATGATTATGACATGCGCGGGTGACAGATCCCGCCGCCGTTCAAGCCGCAGGTGGAGTCGGACACGGACACGCGGTACTTCGACTCCGAGTTCACCGGCGAGTCCGTGGAGCTCACGCCGCCAGACCAGGACCCCGGCCTCGCGCGGATACAGGAGGAACACTTCCCGCAGTTCTCGTACCAGGTGTGTGTCTGTGTCTGTGTCTGTGTCTGTGTCTGTGTCTGTGTCTGTACCTGTACCTGTACCTGTACCACACGCGGTACTTCGACTCCGAGCTCAGTCTCGCCCGGATATAGGAGGAACGCTCCCCAAAGTTCCACCAGGTCTGTGCCACACCCGGCCTCGCACGCATGCAGGGGGATATTTTCCCCAGACTTCGTATCAGTTCTGCACGCGCCCAATAGGTACCGATTTTGCCCAGATCCATAGCTTAAGAATAAAGAAGGATGAATGAATTACTCGCAAACTGCTTTTCCCATTATCGACATCATCCCCCCTATTAATAAACGAAGAGTATGCATGGATTGTAGTGTTGAGTAGGACTCACAAGAGGCGGTACATTTGTCCCGGACATGACGTCAAAATGTAAGAGCGGCTCGAAATTTTAAAATGTACTACTTCACATATGTCGCGATAGTCGCGTCTCGTTACTCACTCACTCTTCGTAAGTCTGAGAGAGAGCGAGGCATGACATTTCATTTAAGTCCTCTACGCACTATCCATCTGTATCTCTATCTGTTTAACGTGTATAGCGCTGTCCTGCATGCTGGATCCAGCAAGATTGATAGTGCGTAGAGGAGGTGCTACTCGTGCACACAAACGTAATGTCGAGCTTCTGTACGCCTCAATGTCATATTTGTACTCGTCACTTCAAATGTGTTGCCGAACTTCAGTACGCCTCGCCTCATTTGAAGTGGGACATTGTACTGGCTCAATACAAAAAAGAAGCTACTCTTACAAACTCTTTTTCAAGTCGTGTCCTACCCAACACTAATGGATTGGTTACTCCATGTTTTGTGTCTGTCTATTGAATGACAAATGGCATTTGAGTGACACGAACAAAACCCGGCGTAACTAGTCTAAGCTCATTCCTTGTTTATGTATAAGGGGGCATGAGTTGTAGAAACTACTTGGTCAACGACACATTTCTTTTCTAGCATATTTTTTATTATGCTACCTTTCTACATTATATTTAGAAAATGTGTGTGTTATAATGAGGATATTTATGGGTCTTTCGTCGTTTCGGCCCCATAACGGTTGAGCCCGTGGGCTGCAACGATAGTATAATGATTATTTGATTAGAGAAGATTGAGCAGATTGATGTTTGGAAAAAAATCATCTATGATAATTACTATTTCTTCTTTAATATTTTATGAGGAGCTCGATGACGCAAGTGGTAAGCGCGATCAGCTGCGATCGTTGAAGTTAAGTAACTTTCGCAGTGGTCGGTCATTGGATGGGTGACCAAAAATTTACTATCTCGAGTTCCTCCGTGCTTCGGAAGGCACGTTAAGCCGTTGGTCCCGGTTGCATCTGCAGTCGTTAGCACCCACCAATCCGCACTGGGCCAGCGTGGTGGGTCATGGCCCAATCTCCCTATTCCATCCATAGGGAAGGCCTGTGCCCCAGCAGTGGGGACATTAATAGGCTGATGATGATGATGATGAATATTTTATGAAAGCGATTTTTTAATTGTTATTTGTTTTTAATTTGTTTTTATTGTGGATTTTATCTACGATTAGAAGAAATGGCACTTTTTTACAGCCTAAGAAATACTAGAGGCAATTCGACAAGATCGTTAGTCTCGATATTATAGCGGTTAGTACATCCGCTTGGACAGCGGAAGACGCAAGTTCGAGTTCTACCTGAAATCTTAATCGAGTTGAATTATTTCTGGTAAATATTTTCTTACGCTTGTCGGAACATGGTCGAAAGCAGGAGGGTTATTTATCGATGCCGTGGATTAGTGGGTGAGATGTTAATTTGAATAAATAAACAGCACTATCATCATCATCATCAGCCTATTAATGTCCCCACTGCTGGGGCACAGGCCTTCCCTATGGATGGAATAGGGAGATTGGGCCATGACCCACCACGCGGGCCCAGTGCGGATTGGTGGGTGCTAACTACTGCAGATGCAGCCGGGACCAACGGCTTAACGTGCCTTCCGAAGCACGGAGGAACTCGAGATAGTAAATTTTTGGTCACCCATCCAATAACCGACCACTGTGAAAGTTGCTTAACTTCAACGATCGCAGCCGAACGCGCTAACCACTTGCGCCATCGAGCTCCTCAAACAGCACTATAATTGATCATTATTTCTTGATGATGGATTGGATTAATCCATTACTGCTACACTAAGTAAATAGTCAGCAATCACAAAAATGATACTTAATTTAAAATAAGGACCACCGAGCACGTAGCTATGCGCGCGCCTTCTGTCACAAGTCAACCATAAACTGTCATCCATGACAAGACGGCCACTTCTCAATAAATATTTCCAACACACACCAATTTAGGCCATGAGAACCATAGTGGCCTAACTCATTTTTTCCAATATTGAGTTTATGATTTTTTCCAGTTCAAATTGATCATTTTGATAGAACCAGAGTGGTCTAAAAGTGATACAACGAATATTGACTAAATGGGATTATAATCACTGTTACGGTTTTTAGTCTGTGATCTAAATTTGAGGTGCCATAATGGCTTAAGTAAGATAGGCCACTATGGTTAAAAAATGACTATGGTTCTCATGGCCTCAATTAGCCTAGCCCCAAAGTAAGCACTGCAGGCTTGTGTTTTTCGATACTACGGTAACGGATTCATATAGGCACTGATACATATATAAGTATATTTATATAGAAACACATACATATTAAACATCCATGACTGGAGTACAAATGCTCGTATTCATCACACAAACATCTGCCCCCACCGGGATTCGAACCCGGGACCTCTCGAGTCGGCGACAGCCATGAAACCCGGCGTACAAACCACTCGACCACGGAGGTCGATTTACTAATGCTGTATCATAAAAAAAAAAAGCGGTGGATTACCCTTAACATTTGGGGGGATGAAAAATAGATGTTGTCCGATTCTCAGACCTACCCAATATGCACACAAAATTTCATGAGAATCGGGAAAGCCGTTTCGGAGGAGTTTAACCACAATCACCGCGACACGAGAATTTTATATATTAGATTACACAGCTTCATGACGCATCTGGTCAAATGCGGAATCAATAATGACGACTTCCGTGGCCGAGTGGTTTATGCGCCTGGTTTCAAGGTGTCGCCGACTCGAGAGGACAACGGTTCGAGTCCCGGTGGGGGTAGATGTTTGTGTGATGAATACGAGCATTTGTACTCCAGTCATGGATGTTTAATATGTATGTGTTTCTATATAAATATACTTATATAAATATTTCTATATAAATATACTTATATATGTACAGTATATGTATTCTATCCGTTACCCTAGCATCCCATAACACAAGCCTTACAGTGCTTACTTTGGGGCTAAGCTAATTGTGAGTGTCGGAAATATTTATTTATTTAAATACATACTACCCTAAATTTTCACCCTTCTACCACCAACCGTATTTTTTTATGGCGGTACTCAGTTCGCTGTTATGGCGGTACTCAGTTCGCTGGGTCAGCTAGCGGTATATATAAATATGGTGTGATTGTCAGGACATCTGCTCGTCGGCGCACTCGGCGCTGTCGCACCTGTCGCAGCACGCCGCGCCGCCCGACCGGCGACACTAGCTGCGACCGCGACCGCGACCACGCCTGCGACCAACACTACACCTGCGACCGCGACCCAAGCCCGCGCCGACACCAGACCTTGTATATATTAAACTTAGGATCCAACAATAACACTGTTTCATTTATGCATACGTAACCAACTGAAAAGGATACCGTTGAAACTTTTTTATTTATAACGAAAATCTACAGATTAATGAAAGCGTTTGTATATGAGGACGCACGACAGAAGTGATAAATTATCCTTTTTAAGCACAGGAGATTGGTAGGTAAAAAGAGGATTTAGGGATGAAAAGGGATTAAAGGATAAAAAGGTGATAAGGGGATTTATGAGTAATAAGAGGATTTTGTTGTGAGGAATTGATGGGTGAGGGAGTGGAACGGGTCTAGACACCCCTCTAGTACCTAGGCGGGCTGTAGCGTCCGTCTCCTTTTGCAGCAAAGGGAAGCCATACAAACTGGCACCGTAACGCGTTACGTAACAAAGCGGTTGGTATGGGAAGGTCATAAGAAGTTATCACCTCAAAAAAGTCATGGTCAACTTTGCGCACCACATTCTTTAAACGCACCGTCGACATGCGTTTTAAAAACGCACGTCAACGACACTTATCCTACAGAACAGTTTGTATCGACAAGCACGCGCATTGATATCGCGTCTAAGTCGCTACATATTCGCGTCTGTATCGCTACAAACGCATGTCAACGGCACGTTTAAAAACGTATTTATTTATTCACCATTTTCTCGTGAGCTTACAGAGATTCCTTATCGCAACACAAGTAACTAAATTACAAAATTATTAAAATCACAACAAGCAAAATTAATAATATTGGAAACAACATATAATAGTGAAATATTTCGGGACTGTTGCAATTGAATTGACTCGCAAAATACAAAGTATGTCTATGATAACAATTCCGCTTATGACATAAATAAGGTAAGTAATGGTGTAGATTCTGGCTTGATTCTCTAAAAACTACATTTAGATAACATCTGTCCCTCTTTTTCATTCTGTATAGAAAATGACAAGGATAGACTATGGTCAAAATTAAGTTTATACATAAGTACATATTTTTGGGGCGACCTGCCACTAGATGGAGCGACGACATCCGAAAAGCAGCAGGTAATGATTGGATGAGGAGAACTGGAGACCGAACCTACTTAATGGCGTACCATGGGAGAGGCCTATGTCCAGTAGTACACTAATGCGGGCTGATGATGAAATAATAAAAGATACATAATTTTACACCGTTGGTATCTATACTGACATGAATCTCTAAACCTAAAACTAAATTTAACAACAATGTATCCTTATCATTCCTTATATGCGTGCCCACCGAAATCCCACAGTAGAAAAAGTGGGTTTCGTATAGATAAAGATTTAACAGGAACTTTAAAAAAATATAGCCAGAAGAATAAGGGCCGTTGCCGAGGCACAGGTCGCGCCGCGCTGCCAGCTACGCGACGACCTCCTCAAGGCAACGCGTGTACGCCACAGGGTCACCGTTGTAAAGGACAGCGCCTTAGATTAAAACAAAAAGGGAAGATACGGCACTGGTGGCTCAAAAGTGATCCGCTTAAATTGTGGTGCATGACCATAATTCGCTCCCCTCCCGTTCCAAGTGCACATCTGGAGTGCACTTGTCCTCTAGCGCATCTTGTGTTATTTTAAACTATGCACTAGTTTAAACTAACGCAGCGCCGCATCATCCCCCTCTCAGGGGATGATCACTTCAAATGAAGCTTGTAAGGCCCTTCTGGCCATAAGCATGATTAACGGGTGTTTTTTAGTCAGTAAGAGTCTGACATAACCCTACAGCCGGCTGTAGGGTATCCATTAGGATTTCTCACCCGCTCCCCCGCCTGGGAGGAAACAAAAAAAAACATAATTGCTTTAGTCACAAGTCGACATTCAAATTCGCCGCATGTGCAGTCAATATAATAATATTGCGTATATTCTGTGTTATACAGATAAAATCAATGCCTTCGAAGCTTTTATAAAGAACACAAATAGTTGAAAGTGAAATAATTAATGCCACGTGAACACTTTTCATTCGTAATACTGTAAAATCATTTTCTCAAAAATACGTAATCGCCATTTTGTTGTCAAGAAAAGGACAACAATACAGCTCAGCCGTACGACTTCGGAAGCGGATTTGCCGTTTCGCTCGCGCTGCGTTGGGTTTAAGTCAGGCGAGCCGGCAGGACAGTCTAACCTTGTGATTTCGTATTCTCGGAGAGCAGCATTGACTGGTTGATTTTGATGTGCGGGCGCATTATCGTCAACCAGTACAAATTGGTGCCCATGGTTTACTCGGAAAGGTCTGACGATTCCATCAATAGCGACTGTTTTGTATCTGTCTGCTGTCCTGAAGCCTTGATAAGGGATTAAATGCGTTCTAGCCCCAATCATAATACCACCCCAAAAGGACACTGATTTCCGGCCTTGCTGAACCGTTCCAGTGACCGTTCTTTGCCTTTCAGAGTCTCCAGGTCTACTCAAAAAACACGTCGGTGATCTGGGTGAGTACCTACTGATTCGCGATTCGTCAACGAAGAGGCAGTTTTGCCAAATGTTTTCCTCTTCGTCTTCTTCGTTTTGCCGGAGCCTAGCCCAGAGTAATCTCCGGCGCTGACGTTCCCGTGCGTGACGTTCAAAGGTGCCCGTGAATTCAAAGACCTCCGTGTTCGTAATCCAGCCCTGTGTTAGCAATTCCGAATGGTCTGAGTGCAAACTTCAAGTAAGTTTAGTGGCGTTTATTGTTGGGTCGCGGGCTACCAGCAACCTGATGTAGCGCTTCTGAGCAGCTGTCAAAACATGGGCGACCGCTGCGGGGTCGATCAGCTAAATTACCCATGCTGTGGTACCTCTGCAACGTGGTTACTACACAGGATTGGTATGGCAACTCTGCGTGCTATTTCTTTCGTAGAATAGCCTTCTTCCCTCAAAGTTACAATTCTGGCTCGTAAAACATCTGATAAATTCTCGTGGCATTTTTTAAATCACAACTTTCTGTGAAAAAAAAAATGGTTGCCTGTAAAGTCGGTTTTACGGGCGAAGATTTTACGTGACAACGTCTTTTTCTCGGTAGAATATTTATTGATATGAATATAATTAAATTGCACAATAGGAACAAGGAATTGAATGAAAATAAGAATTGCACAAATTTTAACTATAGAAATATATTTTGTTTACTAAAACATTGTACATGTAAACTTAAACTTAACACGAGAGACTCATCGTAACGTTACCGAGCGTTACACTTTTTCATAAGTGACTCCCAGCCGCAACCTAATTTAAGACGTTGTCACGTCAAAAATCGATAATATTGACTAAGTCAGATTAGATCAGCTTGGATTGCATGTCTTTTTATATGGAAAAACAATTGAATTTTTTTATTGTTTTAATTCTAAATTTACGTTCTCGTTCTAATTTTAAAATTAAGAATTTTACAGAAAAAGAAATTACAAAAAGTCTTCTGTAACACAAAAAATGGGTGCGTGTACTTATGTAGGCGCGTGAGAAGTTATCCTTCTTTGGCATCGTTTAAAATTAGTTTTTAATTGCATGCAAATAATTAATTACAATAAATTAATAAAAAGTCTGGAAAAGGACACAGTCAATAAAGTTCAGTTTTAATTTGAAAAAATAAATAAATAATCAAAATATTCAATTAAAATCGCTACTGAATATAATTTATTAGAACATATGTGATTTGCACTTGTATGAAACTCAAACACGTATTCCGAATATACAAACTAGAAACATGTGGATAAATATTATAAATATGAATACCTATAACTGTTACTTTATTACAAAAAATAAAGATGTGGTTTTTGGTTCTACTACACCAATGGTCAAGAGATGGCGCTGTAGTCTCCTGAATCGCGCTTTGGTTCCGTTGTTCCAGATTAATAAATACTTTTGATAGGCCTTCACAATGCAGTCGTTAGCACCCACAAAATAGAGATTCTATTTCTAATTTCTATTTTGTTGGTAGATTTTCTTAATGTGCGGTAAACACAAAAGTAACAGCATGAAGTTGGTCGCTAAAGCCAACTTCATGCTGTTAATTTTTTGTGTTACAGTGATGCGCGCGCATCTTAAAATTTTACTCTCATCATTTTTTCATAACGCGCCTAAAGAAGTATAACTTTAAAAACAATCTATTTTTCAAAGTGATCGCAAACTTTTTTTGATGTGTGTATGTAGGTACCTATTATGTTATGGAAATAAAGACTGATTAGAAATAAAACGAGCGTTCTAATATCCTTTGATTTGAGTTCATAGTCAATACCGTGATCACGGGATCACGTAAATACATAACATGTAAATACCGTTACAGTAATATAAGTTATGTACGGGATTGTTACCATGTACCTTGTTTTTAGGGAGTTTTCGGCACTGTTGCAAGCGCCATGATCACGGAGGATTCATTGATTTTTTACGTTATGTTGTAACGTTTTTTACATAACAGGCTCTGTTTAAAAAGTGTTTATTTACCTATTATGAATAGAGAAATTGATGACTTTCGTTCTTAAAACGAGTCAGCACATACGTAAAGTAGAGCAGTGCAGTGTTTGTGCTTCGGTTTCGGCGACAATCAATTTCTAAAGGATTTATTAAAATTGTGGGTACGTCATCTATGTCTATGCGACGCGCACGTGAGCTCGCACAAACACATGAGATATAACAACGAAAGTCGGGGAAGGTCCTGCATCGTAATAATAAAACAAGAGTTTAGTTAATTCGATATATTTTTCGATAAAAAGACAATGGGTTGGATCGCCGGCGGCCGGGCCGCGGGCGGCGAGCCGAGAGCGTCGAGTGCTACGCGATAAACTTTCAAAACATAACAACGAGCGGCCACGAGCGTCCTCCGCCGGGCGGAGCGATGCATGCGCATGCGCGCCGACGAACGCGCCCGACCGCTATACATCGCCGAACGAACGCACATTTACATCATAAACAAACGCGGTGCTGCTTCTCGTTAAGGGTGTCGCTTAAAACAACCGAGATCAAGGGATCATAAACGTTAACGTACGATTCACTTCGAAGGTCCGGAGCGCACGATCCGGGAAGTCAGTAGAAAAACACAACTCGCGCTCGAGTCCAATCTCGCGAGGCGCGTGCTGCGAGTCGAATGGCGAGGATATGTACAGGCGCGGGCCCTCACCGCGCGGGCTCGGACGCGGGCGCGGGCGCGGGCGCGGCGGTGTCGGCAGGCGGCCGGGCGGGGGAGGGCTCGGCCGCCGCCGCGCGCTACACGAACTCTCTCCGCCGCGCCGCTGCACCCGCACCACCTGCGCCCGCGCCTGCTTCAACACCGTCCGCCTCTGTGGGCGTGGTGGGCGTCGGCACTTGCGGCGCCGCACCCTTACTCCTCGCCTGTAAAGATACCCCATGTGAGACACCTCGCAGACCGTTCTCTCGGATACTGTTTGAAACTAAAAATAGGGCACGTTTACCTAAAATTATAACATCGAATTGGATTAGAAACGAGAGAGTTGAGCCCTGCGAAACTCCCGGATGGGAGACGGTCGAGATTGACCGATGAACGGATTCTTTTCCGGTTAATTTCGACCGTCCGGAGTCAAACTGCGATGAGATCGAAGTGCGAATTTAAGGATTTTTCTGGAGCTATCGTCGCATCGTTTCGATTTTCACCATCTATTGAAAGAGAAAAAGATAAAGTAATACGGTTACGCAGTTCGGGTATATCTGTAACGTTGTTGTTTTATGCTGCTTTCGAACCGTATCGATCGGGAGAATACCTTGGATCGTCTCTTCCTGAGCGCGGCGACATCGGCGGCCACGGCGGCGCGCGGCCTGTCGTCCTCGGTGGATGCGTGCGCGGATGATGGCGCGGACGCGGTGGCGGCGGCGGGCGCGGTCGCGTCCGGGTCCGCGCCCAGCCGCGCCGCCAACATCGTCAGCAAATCCTCCACGCGGCCCAGCTGGCGATTTCATTACAACATTATCTAATCACTCAAATAACTGAGGTATGTTATTACTTTTCAGTTTTTTTATATAAATTCAAATTTAATATAATACAAGCACTTATGAATTGAAAAGCTTGACCATGAGTTCGCAAATATATGGCGGGAGAGCTTGCACTGAGAAGAACCGGTGGGAAAGTACATATATAAGGCCCGATCGATAACCACACTCCATCTGATGTAGTTTGTCAGTCCAGCCCAGTCATCCTCATCTTTCTGGCATGTATTTTATGTAGACCTAACACAATTGAAAGCACTACTGAAGAAGTATATCCGTAAGCTTGGTATTATCCATTGCATGCCAAATGACCTCAGTGACATCAAGCAGTGCTCTATTTGAAGGGCGGAAGCCAGTTTGTTGGGGACATAGCAAAAAATTTGATGAAATAAAGGAATAAATGTGATTATAAACAATAGACTCGAGGACTTTATTATAGGATACTCCCGTATATGGATAGGACGATATTGAGAAAGAGAAGATGGATTTGGAACCTTGAGAATGGGTATGACATTAGCTGTCTTCTAAGATGTGAGAAAGACATTATGTTGTAGTGAGAAACCAAAGAAAAAGAAGCATCGATGAAAAATGTTGCAAAAATGGGTAAAAATATTCCATTTGTGAGATTCCGTTGCGTGCGATGGGTAAACGGTTACACAAAAATCATGTATGACGGAATTCTTCCCCTTAAAAAGTTCTGTAAAAAAGTCCACGTCAACCCATGTCCATATTTTCTTTTTCTTCAAATTAACGCGGGTGAAACCGCAGGGGACCTCTAATTGTGACATAACTGTAATAGTTAGACATTATGGTATCGTGGACTTTTTTGTAGATATTGGTATGCTCTATAAAACTAGTACATCATTATGCTCTATTGTCAGAGGCTTTCGCAGCGTACGCGATATAAGATTACAGTCGCGTTAAACGAATGAATTTATTTAGATAACGCTCTTCTGTATTTCGGAATGCTGGTTAAGGTCCTCTTTCCATGCTTACCTTCTGCTGCAACCGTTGCACCTCGTTGCGCACGTCCCGCCGCAGCTCATTGAGAGCCGCGTCGTGGGCGGAGGCGCCGGCGGGGGAGGGGGAGGGCGAGGGGGCGGGGGCGGGGGCGGGCGCGGGCGCTAGTGAGGAGACGCGGCGATCGTCCAGCTCCTCCTCGATGGTGTCCTGGCGAGCGCTCGTGCTACTCACTAGGGCACTCGCAGAACGCGTTTTCGCGAACTGTGCCTAGGAAAACAAAACGGTGAACAAATCTACGAGTGATATGAAACATTGTGAGTAAAGACAGTTTTCATAGTAGGTCTGTCTGCAGGTTAGTGTCAGTGGGAGCTGAGACCATCCCAGTTTTTAAAATCTACTTAACTAAAACGTTTGTGGATAAACTTCTCCCAAAACTTGTTTTATTTGTTAATTCTAAGATGATCGTAGGTCCGGACAGAGTCAATTACGCTCCTACACGGAAAAGATGATCAGCCTAAATCGAAAATCATAAAAATTAAACACTATGTAGCCTGAAAAATACAGAAAGTCCATCTAGCTCAGAGCTGGAATCTTCCTTCATTTAGATCGAATCGATTTTCAAACGTCTCCAAGAAAACATGGATCGCGAGCACTCTTCGACCCGATCGGGCACTTTGGTATTACATAATAACTGGTTCTATCATTGAAAACACTCACTTTGAGTGTGAGAGTCGGCGCAGGGGCGGAGTCTACTGTGGCGGGGCGGTCCCTCGTGCTCAGGCTCCTGGCGAACGCGCTCCTCGCCGCCTCCGCTCCCGCGCTCGTCGCGGTCGTCGTCGCCGTCGCGTTGGCCGCAGGAGCAGCGCCGGCGTCCAGGGAGCCGCCACTGGCGAGCAGGCGGCCCCACTTGCCGCGCGCTACTACGCTAGCAGGCGCGGGTGCCGGGGCGGCGTGCTCCCCGCGCTCGGGGTCGGAGGCGGGGGCGGGGGAGGGGGCGGGGGCGGGGGAGGGGGAGGGCGCGGTGCGGGCGGGCGCGGGGGAGGGCGCGGCGGCGACGGATCGCTCGCGTCGGAAGCGCGAGAAGATCTTGCGCACGAGGTGGTCCTGCGCCTGCTCCAGCTGCGGCTCGCGCTTGCGCCGCTCCATCAGCTCGCGCTCGCGGCGCACGTCCGCCACCTGAGGGCAATACGCGCGACCGCTTGTTGCACTCGACGATTTCTTTTCGTTCGCTCCCTCCCTAGCGTGAGCACCGAGATATGATATACTTTTACCACGCTCGGTTGTCGAACTACTGGTGTTTGTCGGTTTGGCACGATGAAAAACGTGATATAATGTAATGATGGTGCTAATGACGAGTGGACCGGCCTATGCGACACTGAAACGTTAACGATTTCGTTTGCATGATTTATTCATTGTTGACCTTTTGTAATTAATGCACATAAGTAATACTCGAAAGGGTTACTTAAAACTTAGTTCTACTCTAAGTACTTATCAGGCTAGATTAACGGTTAGTGCGTGGCCAATCTAAACAAAGCGTCAAGCCTACAATTTTAACACTCTTCTTGGGAACCTCGGCCCTCAAAATGCTTGTAAAGTTACCGATGCAAAAATGTTATCTTTAGTTTGAAGTGTGGATTCTCACATACCCCCGCTGTTCTACTCTCAGAAGGTGAGGGAAGATTCACGCCTTTACCAGACAGGTATCACATTCGATACGAACCAGCGTCTTTCGCTAACACACCGACCGTTTAACTTTTCTGATATATTTTCGTAATACCTAGGCAGGGCCGATTTTTTCTAATAAAATTCTTTATGACTCACTCGGTAACATTGATAAAATTTAATTCTTGAAATAGCGACATGACATCTCAGGCTGTCGCTGCAGAATCGACTATATTCAAACTCAAAAGTTAGGCAATCGATCGTCTCTAAGAGCGGCTGTAAACTATCGAAGACTTACATCTTTAAAATGTTCCATTTAAAAATGTAAACGCTCACCTTCCGGAAGATGAGCCGGTGTCGCAGGTTGTAGGTGAGCGTGAGGTTGCGCGCGAAGCTGTTGGCGAAGGCCTGGTAGAAGTCCAGCACCTCGAGCAGGCGGTCCCGCTTGATGGTGTGCAGGTCGCAGTAGGTGAGCGCGCGCACGTTGGCGGCCGACTGCCCCACCGCGCTGTCCTTCCAGAACGAGTCGCCGAACACGTCGCCCTTGCCTGCCCACACGCACAGAGCTGGACCGTCAGTTAAGGGGGCCCTGGCCTAATACTATTTAGCCCCCCCCCCCCCCTAATTACTCAAAGTATAAAAAATGAAACAGTAAAATATTTAATTTATATTATGCCTTAGTATTATACTACTGTTAATAAATTGACAAATTACAAAGCAACCTTTCTGCAAAGTGCAGACATGGCAAATTCGTTAATTTGCTCCCCACATTCTAGGGGTAATATAAATGGGGTTACATTCAACAATGTATTTTTTATACATTGAATGTACTGCTTTAAAGAAAATAATTTTAATTTTCTTTCTTTAGTGAATCACTAGTTCAACTTTAGACGTCTATTTTGAATTTATTAGATCTGCTATGAAAATTTAGCGATATTTGCCTGTCTGAATTTTCGGTCTGTTTACTTTAATAAAAGAATGGATTCTTTCGCATTATCGTTTACTTTTGGCTTTGACTTGACTTAGCTGGAAGCCCCTTGAATCCACGGGGCCCTGGGCTGAAGCCCAAAAAGCCATATGGTAGATCCGGCCCTGCACAGACACACCGATCGATGTAGCTCACACTCAACATTAGGGTCACCGTCGCATCTCTCCGAATATGTAAATGTCTTCCGCACAGATCTACTTAACAAAGCCCCTCTGGTTACCTCATAATTTTAAAAGTAATATCTCAAGTCAGGTGTATGCGGAATGGATTATATTTGGATCGATAAAGAACCAAATTTTCATCAGCCGATGGACGTCCGCCACTGGACACAAGCTTACTCTAGGGATTTTCATTCACAATGGTCCTGCATGCATTGCACTAGATTTCACTTGCAGTGGGGCCCACATATTGGAAATTCTCGAAGAGACTTAGTTCTGCAGCCTACGCAGTAATAAAGGTACGCCAATTAACTAACGTAGTTACCGCTGGATTAGTATATTTTAGCTATTTTCATAGTGTGATGTCGGACGGTATTTTGCTGTGGGGAAATGCAGCCCATATTTAAACTATTTTTGTGTTGTAAAAGCGGGATGTTCGATCAATTTACAATCTAAAGGCAACAGAATCTTTAAGAGAAAATTTTAAAGAAATGGATATAATGACAGTTGCATCTCAATATATTTATGAAAATTTAATGTATGTTACAAAAAATATTACATTATTTTCTATAAATGATAAATAATCGCCTAATACTAGAAATAAAAATAAACTAGCTGTAACAATTATTAGGCTCCACAAAATAAAAAAAATATTTAAAGGTCTTTGTAAACGCTTTTTATAGTATAGTCCCTAGCAATGTCCAACAATTGAGCGTCAATTAATTTAAAGCTGCTATGAAAAAGTTCTTATGAATAAAGCGTATTATAAGGTGTCAGATTATATTTCAGTCAAAAATGCTTGGGTTTAAACTGTTCCAAACATTCCAACAGGCTTTTTCTATAATGACTATAAAGATGACCTAATTTTGTATTGACACTGTAACGATACAATATTTTACAAGTAAATATTGTTACAAGATTAGACGCTGTGAAGATTTTTTGCCCGTTTTTCTCCACAGCTAAAAAAATTACCTTAACGGGTGGTAGGGGAAAACATGGACGATTCAAATAGTTGTATTATGATTCCTATTTCAAAAAAGTTATTTTGAATTAAATTGTATTGCGCATTCTGAATTCAGTGGGTACAGTTTGGTCCTTCAAACTATCAGTTGTCTTTCTTCTTTAACATTATTGTTCGGTTCAAAACCGAACACTAAGGTATTGCGACATACAAGGATGACGCACGGGGCGGCTCGCGGTAACTGGGCCATAGTCCGCCGTGCACTTTAACACTTCAGTGCAATACATTTCGCGGTAGCAATTAGTTGTATTCGTTAACATTATAACATAAATTCGGAACATTTTTATAACAGATCATTACATATTAAAATAGTTTTAACAATAACATTTTTTATACTTTTTCCTTTGACTTTAATTGAACATTTCTAAATATAAGTGACCTTTGTGTCCAACTGTGGAGTAAAATAAAATATTTAACAGTTTAAAACTGCATTTCTCCATTAAAACCCCGCGCAGACTGATACCCCGAACACTTATATCAATATGTAGGGGGTCACCCCTACAGTTTCAATACGATTGCGGTTTCAAATTCGCAAACCGTACCAAACCTGAAACTTAAGCTCATTTAGACAACAGCAATGAACGCACCAAGAATGGCGACGACCTCGTCGTCCTGAATGACCTCAAGACTGCCGGTGACGATGAAGCAGAGCGAGTCGATGGACTCGCCGGTGTGGTAGAGCAGGTCGCCGGGCGCGGAGTGCGACATCTGGAAGTGCATGGCGAGCGCGCGCAGGCACCCGTCCGACGCCAGACGGAACGCCGGGTGCTCGTTGAACACCTTGCGGTTCAGGTGCACGCAGATATCCGCCTTCATGTCTTTCGGACAGTAGTTTAGCACCTATGTGTAACAGTGGAGTCAGACATTACATTCCAATGACGAAACGGTTATTTCACATTTTACTACAGACGTATGTGTAGATCAGAATGGCGAGAAGACTCCGACTCTTGCATGAGGTTAATTTATGCTCGGAAAGAGTCCCCGGTGACTTAAATACTTTTGAAAAGAAAGGATAATATGTAAACGTTAGTAACACATTTAAAAATATTATAGGTAAATACAATAAATCATATCTGTAATAATCGCTAAAGGAAAATCTACAGCTCTGAAAGTTTCTCAGCTGGTGTGGCAAAATTGAAACGGTAACTTTAATTGGTTCTCGTTTGTCGCGTTGTAGTATTGACAAGGTGAGGTGAGTCGGTCACCTTGTCAGTGTCGAGCCCCTTGGTCATGGCCCACGTGGAGACCACGTAGTCCATGACGCGCTCGCTCAGCGCCTTGGGCACCTCGTGCAGCTTCATGAACTCGCGCACGTTGTTGAGCATGTCGTGGTACTTGGCCGTCGCCGACGTCATCTGCTGGATGATGGTGGTCACGTGCCCGAATATCGTCGCGTACAGCAGCGCTGCAACACAGCGGAACTCAGCGGTAAGTCGCTGATGATTACGACTACCAATCAGAGCATCCCGTAGGTACTCCGATACTATTCCAAAACTATGATCGTCTCGTTATTCTCAAGCGGAAACACTCATATTTAAGAAGACAAAACCAGACAATTATAGATTTGTATATTGAACTTACCAAGTAGCAGTGAACAATTGACCACGTCAAAGTTTGCTTCTACTTTTAAACGTCAACAATGTGAAATAAACTTTAACATCAAGTATATAACAAACTCACAGTGGGCACATCGACCAGATGACCACTATTCGACGAATAATATTATGCGAGCGCTCAAGTGCTTAAGTGCTGTCTCACTCACACAAGTGATGTAGCATGGATAAAAAAAGGCTCTTTGCAAATCTTAATAATGTATCAGGTCCCAAGAAGTGATGACGTTCATTTATTAATACGTGAATGATATTATTAATGATGATGAGAGAAGAGATGTTGATTATTTTACGCGAGCGTTCAGAGCAATGTGAGACAGCACTGGTCAGTTCGCTGGTTGAGTCGCGGTTCTTTGACCACGCGTGACGCGCCACGACCGACGCTTCGTGGGCCTGCACAAAGGGACAGGGAAGGGAGGATTTATATGGCTAATAGGAATAGACACATCTTAAGGATCTAGAGTTTATGAAAAAAAAATATGTAACGGTCAACGAACTAATCGGCTGTATGTGGATAGGTAGTCACTTTACTTTTATGAGAATGGCTGGATACTAGAGAATTTTCAAGTCACTGTGTCGGTTTTATTGATAGTTGTGTGTCTTTGATATCATAACGTCATAAACATTTACTTACTTATATTGAATGTTTTGTGGCAATGGTGACATTTCACAATCACAAACAGTGCAGACACACAAGTGACACTCAGTGAAACATAAAATGTAATGTAATTTAGCAGTTGCCATCGACCATCGAAATGAAAAACCGTGCAAACAAACAGGGAGGGTGAACGCCGAGCGGGCGAGGGAGGGACAGGATCGGACAGGTGCGGCCTCCCACGCAGCGACGAGACATTCCCAATACACCACAAAGGTAAACTGGGCTCCACATAAGGGCCCATTAAAGTGGCGCAGTGGGAACGGCCCACAAGGCTGCGGGGAGGTCGCACGCGTGCTCCGGCTAATAACAGAAGAGTCCTGCACCTGCCACTATCATCATGCAGATGGTGAAGATCTTCTCGTTATCGGTCTCGGCGGCGACGTTGCCGAAGCCCACGGAGGTCATGCAGGTCATGGTGAAGTAGAGCGCGGTCACGTACATGGTCTTGCGCGAGGGCCCGTTCACCAGCTCGGGCCCGTCGGACTCGTTGGACCACACGTAAGAGTAGGGCGTCTGCGTGACGTTGGCCAGCTTCCACAGCCACGAGTATTGTAGGCCGGAGTCGGCGTCGGAGCGGCCGATGCTGTACCACACGCAGGCCAGCCAGTGCGCCACCAGCATGTAGAAGCACAGCAGCAGGATGAGCATCGCCGCGCCGTACTCCAGGTAGCGGTCCAGCTTGCGGACCACGCGCCCCAGCCGCAGCAGCCGCACCACCTTCAGCGCGCTGAACAGGCTGCCGATACCCTGCGGACACGGACAACCCCACCACCACCACCACCCTTCAAGCTCATACACAGGTCTCATTCCCAGGCGATATGACACGGTAATAACAATAACAGAATAATATTAATAAATAACATATATGTATAAATACATTTATATAAAAAAAATATAATAAACATCCATGACTGGAGTATAAATGCTCGTATTCATCACAAAAATATCTGCCTCCAACGGGTTTCGAATCCGAGAACTCTCGAGTTGGCGACACCTGCATCAAAAATCCGGCGTATACCACTACCACTCGGCCACGGAGGAAAAACATTTATTCAGATCTGTCTACTTGATTGCCTTTTAAAACAGTTCATGCTAATGCTAACACTTCAAATGCGATTTTAATTCCTTAAAGTAAGAAAATGTCCCTGAGCTGGTCGTTAATAAGCAATCGTTAGGGTCTTCTGGAGTTTTAGTAGTGAGGTTGAAAAGTAACTACTTTGCAACTTAGCTTTGAAATAGTTTTATTTACAGTATTGACTGCGAAAGGGGGCAAGCATACTCACATCCTCGTCGTGGTCGAAAGCGTTGAACACGTCGTACGGCAGGCACGAGAGCAGGTCGATGAGGAACCAGGACTTGAAGTAGTTCTTCCTGATGACTTTGGGGTCGCTGACCACCTCGCCGCCGGGGCCAACGAACGTGGTGTGGAAGTTGAGCACGATGTCTATAAAGAACACGACGTCGACGATGGAGTCGATGACGAGCAGGGAGACGTCCTCGCTCGTCTTGTTCTTGAAGGCCACGTTGTAGGGCACCATGATGGCGGTGTAGAAGGTGAGGCACAGGATGATCCAGTCCCAGATGGCCTTGAAGGCGCAGTAGTGCAGCAGGATGTGCGGCGGCGTCTTCGGGGCCTCCTGTCGGTACTGCGGTAGCACGTCGCCTGACAGAGACATCACCTGACCAACACGACACTAGATTCTACCAAAAACCTATTAAAATCGCTAGGCAGTCCCTAAAACTGTTGAATAAAATACCGAATTTCGTATAAAGCTATTAAATAAAACTGAATCTGATACTCCAGCTTGAGTAAATAGTAATGCAATGCAATACGTACTAATTATAATAAGAAGCATTTGATCCAGTCAATCAATTGAGAAGCTGAAGACCGTGGTCTTGTAACCTCGCATACGATTGGAATCCTGACTGAGTCGATTTTATTACATATTTTTTTTATATTTTAAAATCTTACATATAGCATTGCATAACATGCATAATTAAGCACCTAACAAATTACAACAATTTCATCTTGACAAGTATTACTCGTTTATAAATTACGTAGCAAGATGCTATAAATACAAAGCAAAGCAAGACCAAAACAGACGTTTAGTAAGAAACATTTCTTGCAAATTCCATTCAATCAGCATTTGAACTGCTACAATTTGGCAGACGAATTGCATTTAATTAAAGTGTTGAAATGCAGTCCGTCTGTCTAGACTAGAGCTTTACTTCATCTTTCCTTAAAATATTTTACTTCGTTATTTTTGGTCCGTCTTTTAAAAGCGTTATTATGCAAGCATCGTCAATAAAGTTTGTTTAGCTTTCGTCTTCGTACTGGAATCAATAACTTGTTCATTGTGACTTTTTCTTTCTGCGACGATTGGGCAGCGAAAATCGAAATGTCATCCTTGTTTTGTACGTTAGTATTCCGTACTATAACAATAATATTTCCTACACTCACACCAATTACTCTAGCCCCAAAGTAGGCACTGTAAGGCCTGTGTTATGGGGATGTTATGGGTCGACCAGCAGTTAACTACTAATTAATATTAATCACTATTACCTGATTAACTGCCTTTTTTTATAGTATACTTATTAATACTCTTTTTTAATTTAGGTAGGTGATCAACTAGGTATATGTGTTCATTAGTTAAAGATACACTAAAAGTGATTTTGTGAGTTCGAAAATATTCTTATTCTTTCATCTTTGCAATCAATCAAATTGTAACGTCTACTTTCGATAAAAATATGACCATAAAGATAGTTCAATTTTGTTTGATCTTTATGTAGTAGTGTTTTGTTAATTCGTATCTGTAAGCAACATGTAAGCGGTCGCATGCAGTGGAGTGGCAGGTGGCAGGTGGCAGACAGCAGGCAGCAGGCAGTAGACAGCAGTAGTAGAAGGTGTGTGGTGTTTACATGCGGTGCGTTGGTACTGACATGCGCCAGGTGGCTCTGCCGCTGCGGCTCCTTGAGCGCCGGCAGCGCCGACACCAGCACCGACCGCGACCGCGTCACCGACCGCGCCAGCTTCGCGAACTTCGACAGGCCTGGGGGGGGACAGCACGCCATGCGAGCGATCGTATATTATACTTAAAAAATGGCGCAGAATGGATTTTCTCCCAACTAGAATTGAATTGTAGTAAATATGCTATACCTGTAGAAGAAAGCTATAAGAATGAAGTGAATCAAGTCGGCACGTCGAGAGGCTGATATGGTATTGTTTGGCAGTTCATACTATCTTATTGTGGATAGATAATAAATATAACCCCTTAACTGAATAAATGATTTTTGAATAACGCCATAACTTTCATTATCGATAAGAACCGAGAGAAAAAGGAATTCCTAAACTCTTTTCGTAATCTACAAGTTCAATGTATCACGACTTTGAAGAGCTGTACCCATTTGTTTGTTCATTAATGCAATTGTTAGCACTCAGCTAACCTCGGTCCATAGGGAAGGTCCTGTGCCTCAGTAATCGGGACATAAATATAGGCTAGTAAGATGCAGGCAGTAACGCACACTGACCTCCCTTGGGGTCGTCGGCGTCGATGGGCTGCTTGAGCGCGGTGATGTCGCGGAACGTGAGCAGGAACAGCACCACCAGCTCGCGCTCGTTGCGGATCGGCGCCACCTGCACCAGCAGCCATAGCGGCGTGCCTGCGCAACACACGCACACAATACGGAACCAAACCAATTGCCAAGTTAAACTGGCCAGATAAGTGTGGGAGAAAGTAACAGGGTTGCGCCGACCCCCGGCAGCGCCTGTGTGTAAAATCTATCATTATAGACCCTGGTCTATAATCTTGTTCCTGAACAATAAAATTTTGAGAGGAATTAAAAACAGAACAGGATAAACCCCATACAAAAAGAAGAGGACAAATTAAAAAAAGAGGAAATATATTACGGGAAGGATGGGGAATGATCTTTTAAGTGGAAAAACGGTTTATTTTACCTAATAATTGGTCGGAAATTTGAAAATCCATTAAAATTCGGCTATTGTATTTGTGACAAGTGTCAACAAATCCCTGTATTGCAAGATAAGACTTAACCCGGCTCTACACAAAAAGACACCAATCTATTGAATTAACTGGGATATAAATCGACAGCATTTGTCTTATTAATAGTACCTATAAATACCATTAAATACAGTGTTTCATAAATAGTGTTGGTTATGTTTAAAAAAAAATGGTTTTCTGTGAAGTCGGTTAACGGACGATAGTTTTACGTGATAGCGTCATAACCGGTGTTTATCGATTTATAATACACGTCACGTCAATATTTTTTTTATTACCATATTTGTGTATTACCTACTAGCGCTAAATGAAATAAAGATGTACTGTGACGTTGCTATGTTAATAATATCGGTAGTTCAGACGAGCTAGCCTCTAAACTTCTTCCAACAGTCTTTCAAATTAATTAGAATGATAAGTCCTTGCATTGTTTTCAAGTTTGTAAGTATAATAGGAATCCGATAGTTACGACGTTATGATACAGAATGAAAGAAGCGCGAGGCTAATGGTGAGTTACAAGCGAAACTGTAGCCTTTGTGCTGGTGAAATCAATAAAATGCTGAACGCTCTGACCACCCACTGATGAATTTTACATTTTAAAGTTCCCTTGAAAGAAAAAATGGAGAAGGTCGTTCGCTCGCTTTCGCATCCAGAAGACAAACAAACACCCTAGACGTAATGAAAGGAAGAGAATTGCGCACTTAATAAGTAGGTGTTACAAAAATACTTTTAATAAAATGGCATTTGAAGTGAAAACTTTTTAAGTTGAAGTGAAGTTGAGTATTTGACGCAAGATAGGTATCCGTAATTTTATCAATTACTTTAAGAGACAGATGGCCGAACGCAATCGATTCTTGAGGTCGATGCAATTGGTTAGTGGTGCGAAAGTTATTTTAATTGTTTTTTATTCTTTTACTACACAAAGCTATTAATTAATTTTGGAAACAATTAAAGTACAGAATATTTAATTTTGCCCATATTTTACAATATCTGCAGAACTATTCTGTAAAATTTTCACGCGCGGATCCGACGATACGATTACGGATCTGTCAAAGTTCGTTATTGGGACTCTGTTGACTAACTTATCAACGCCCTGCCTAAGTCATTGGACGTAGAGAGTTGAATTTTAACTCAGGTGTGGTTAAAGACGTAAGTACCTGTAGGCGATTCTGAAAAATTAAATCTCAATTCCGATTTCGGTAGCTGCCATTTTAGGCATTAGTTTGATGTGCATCACGCCATTACACGTCAAAATGTCGCTATATTTGTAGAAGCAGCCAGTATTAGATATTTGTCATTTGTCAGAAATCCGAATAAATCAGATGGTTCGTGAGATTGCATCTTACAGAGTAACAATGCTGGTCATGAAGAACTTTTACGTGTTCAGCACATGTCAGTTTTTATATAATAATTCATTACGAGTAAAAATTGGGAATGAAGACGGCGAAAATATTTACACTTATCATGCCAATTTAGGAAACGAAATGGAACCAAAAATGACCGCCTCTTGAACATTTGGCACCGTCGACGTCGGCCTGAATCTTGTTTAATGGACGTTTTATTACGCAATCGCTTTGTTCTAAAAGTTTATTGACTGCTATTTATTTATAAAGCTTTACTTAATAATACGCAAAAATTTTAAAGCGCGTCGTGAAAGCTAACTTCTTAACTTATCAATGAGATAACCGGTTTCTGTTGGAGTATTCTGCTAAGATAAATAATAATCGTGTGTCAACGACGATTCAATAGTGTTGATTTTTAATTGTTACTAAAACACAAAATAACAATCTTATTGCTTCCTCATTAGTTACCTATAAGCATTTGTTATTTTTTGTTTTAGTGACAGGATCTGAGTCAAAAATCGATACAAATCGAACTACGATTGAGACACGATTTTTCTATAGCTAAGCAGAATAGACACCCTGGTGATACGAAACGTAGACTAAAGTTAAACCTGGTCTTAAACTGATGCTGCCTATTTTGTTTGCTAAAAGAAAGACAGATTAACATAAGGTTTAAACCAAGAGTTAATTTAGTCAATTTTAGAATAAGGCGGTATAAGTTTACTATAAGTGCCACCCTAAACATAAAGTATTAGGTACTCCATCCAATTGTCCGCCTCTCGTCTGCAAAATTTTAGGAGACATCGAATGGATGGTGAAATATATTCCCTGAGGTATACGGGCCGTTAGTTTGAGTTATTAATTTATGAATTTAATCGACCGCTGCAGTGCCGCGCGGCTGCCGCACGGTTATGGCTGCGGCTGTGAAGTGAGTAACTGAGTAGCGTGCAGTGCCCGCGGGACATTTCAGTCTTTACATTATAGTCAGAGCCGTATGCACTCGTTTATTCATATCTTTATTAAACTTCGAAGCGAAATCACGAGCAACACGAAACCATAAGAACCTATCTAGTACTATATCTCGACGGTAAAATTTGCCAATAGTATTATATAAATCCTCCAATGATATTATAATAGAGGATGTTTTAAACTATTTTGGACTCGTAAGGAATAATAATACGAGATTTAACTCCATCGCTTTACGATGTGCCTGCGTGACTTCGCGTAGTTTCGATTCTATAGTTTCGGGTGCTTACATCCTAAATCATTACCCTGCGGTCATTATTTATAGGTTTGTTACCCGCTGTCATTGAGGTTTCACATGCAAACATTGGGTTAATTTCGACCTCGTGACATAATAAGGCGGTTCTGCAGTCCGTTTCGACCTTTGAGCCTGTTATAATTTGTAATGGCACATGAAATCGCTCCAGCCTTGGCCTGTCGCTGCGAAGTCGCGTGCCGTGTGCCGTGTGCCCACCACGAAATATAAGCCGCCGCACTCGGGCCGGTGAGCGACGCGGCGAGCGGCAGGTATTATTGTTCCGTGTCGACGCAAATAAAAACATTGAATCGAACAAACATCAGCCACCGAGCCAAATTAATTGGGCGCGGGCTGGCAGCTGCGGCAGTACCGCCCTACCACCCCCCTAGCCCTGCCCCCGACTTCCTCTACATCCAGTTACCTTTTATGTTATGAGAATAACACGGAGCAATCAACCCGTCTCCCAGCCGGCACTGTCCGCCATCACTCATTACGGAAACGATATAATCCTTTTACAATTGCACTCAGAGACGTCATCAGAACGAGATGTTCTTTAATGTGTTGTGTTTTGTTCTTTAATCTCATAGAAAGAGACCGAAATAAATTAAGTAACGCCTCTGAGAGCGGTTAACTCTCCCGTTAAAATGGTTCATATGTCTACAGTACTACATGGATTGATGCATGCTTGGCTGAATGATACTGTGTGTAGGATGCTTTCGTTGTCTCCATTAGCGATGAGATTGTGTTTTCGTGGTATATTTTTAAACTCCGTCTACATAATTGGCTTAAACTTTATCGTAGCGGTGCAACAGCAAACAGAAATGAAACATTACAAAACTGATTATTTGCTTGCGATTTATAATTTTATTACAATAAGTGGCCCATGACTAGGTACTCGTATCTCTCGCAATCCTTCGACAAAGCTTAATCTTGGATCATTTCGTCTGGATCGGCTCAGAAGTTTAATTGAAAATTATCGGATAACTTTTGGGCTTACAATAAACACAACGGGACATATGATTTATTAAGAAAAAATGCTGCTGATGGCTCGAAAAGAATTGATTTTTAATGAGTTGTAATAAGTGCAGTGAGGAATAAGCTAAAGCATAGTAGAAGCGGCTTGGTACCAATGCTGGGCAAACGCACGGTTCTTTTTGTAGAGCAGGATCTCGAACTGGTCGGCGAGGTGGTGGTCCAGCGCGCGGTCCACTCGCTCCACCGCCTCCTTCTCCGTCAGCTCGCCGTACATCCACGCGCACCTGCACCACAACCACACCTCGATCTGTGCCTTCACCCACCAACCCACTCACGTGCACACAAAACAGTTCTATTCTGTGCCTACACCACCCGACATACAGGCAGAGCGGTTTAAATTTGTGCCAGCACCATCCGACATACCAGCAGACCGGTTCTACTCTGTGCCTGGACCACCCGACATACAGGCAAACCAGTTCTACTCTGTGTCTGCACCAACTAACCGACGTAGAGGCAACATTCTATCAAAGATGCCGGTCGATCACAGCAGGGAACGGAACCATGCAACCACAGAGCACCCACAAAAGAGACCGCTTACAAGGGGACCCCCTTGACTGAAGCTTATGCAGTAATACTACATAAGTACGTCACAACCGCAAAGGTCGGAATACAAGTCGAACTTGTCATTGGATCATGGCGTCAGACTGTGTCCAATCAAAACGCGGCTCACCCTCCCAGCAGCCCGCACGCCGGCAAATATTTATAAAAAAATTGTAATACAGTTCTTAATGGGGGTGCCCTGTGCATGCAATATACGTAAAAATTTCACGTGCAACACCATTAAACATGTAGTTAAGTGAATAACAACATTAAATATTAATAATAATCAGTGTAAGCAGAGGATGAAAGTATGAGGTAACCTGCAGGACTTCTGCATAACCTCGGCGCGGTTGTAGCCGCTCATCTTGCAGAAGGTCTCGTTGCAGTACACGATGGGGTAGTCGACGATCTGCGCGTTCGCCAGCAGGAAACTGCTGTCTGCTGCAAGGAACCACACCACTATCAGTTGCACACTGTAATCGTCTTTTACTACTGTCATGGAAAGCTCAAAAACGGGAATCACTGAATACCAATTTGGCACAGCGTCAACAAGTAGGTACCTAATAGTAGTGTATTAAATAATCACCCGAATGAACTGAGTAGTAATATTTATTATGTGCAAAAATGTAGCCTCGGGTCTCTGCAACATTAGCACGGTAGCCTGAATAACTAAACTCGAGAAAAATACAATTTCTCTTTTCGAAGATGAAGCTCATTTCTGCCATCATTTATACTACTGAAATCATTATTTTACATTATACTAGACTTACCGCCATCATAAAAACAAAAATACTATTTACTTTATTACCTCCTATTTAAAGTACATTATAATGGCAGCTGCCAGATCTGAGAAAAATGTTATGAGATCAGAACTGACAGTTGCTAATGAAGACCTTAGAGTTTCAGCCGTTAGAAATAGTACGGTATAACCTGTGTTGTTTATGGATGGCGTGAGATAAGGAAAACATGTCATGTAATATAAGGTTGGTACGGTACTGACGCTGGGAGCTGGAGCGCCGGATGATGTTCTCGAGGAAGGTGTTCTGCGGGGCCACGAGCCCCCGGCGGCCGCCCGGCATGCCGCCGCCTCCCGCGCCGCCCGCGCCGCCCGCGCCACCAGCACCGCCCGCGCCGACACTCGCTCACATGACTCACCGCGCGCGCCCGCCGCTCCACGCGGACGGCCGGACCCACACAACTCTGACATGAGCAAAAACGATCGATCAATATCTACGAATACCTATATGGTACTGCAAACTTCAGGCAGCTGTGAAGTCAGCGCAAGTTTCTGCATAGTAAACACATTTTTTATAGTTAGGTAGTAGTTCTGGTTAAGTACACGAGGGGTTTCAATGTTGCTGAACGGTGGCTACCATTCAACGTGAACAATGAGATTTGGTGACTCATTTTTAGTCGCAATATCTGCAATGTTTAACAAAGCAGGGTAATTTAAAAGTGGCGCGACGAAGCAACTTGCAGGCTAGCAAGGTCAGTATGGCTGATGTGGCAGGTAAAATAGCTGCACCAGCTGTCTTCCCATCTATGTTCCACCGTCACTTAACATCAGGTGTGTGCAGTAATCTGTGTGGACCTACTTGTAGGTATATGCCTACTTGTAATATAAAAACCTTGGCCATAAACTCTTACGTGACTACCTTCTACCTTCCTATACGAATTAGGTTTACGTGGGCTTCGGAGACCTTTTTTGTGAAAAGTTCGACCAACTGACCTTTGACCATTAATATAGAGGCAAGAACAACAAGTAACGTGCAGCTTGCGTGTAGTACATACTATAGGAAATGTACTTTCGTGGCTTGTTTAGAAAGTCTGCGGTCAGCTCAAGAAATACGTTTAAGCACACACGACACTGACTGCACCGCGATGTCTGCTTAGGGACCTTGTTGAGACGTGCGTCTGTGGGTGAACGTAATTTCGAACATTTGTATGTACCTAGCTTCCTTACTGTTATTGTGATTTTGAGTTTGAGACGCAGTTTGACCTTGATTTAGGAATTTTAGTTGAGATACATGTATTGATATTAATTGGTTTTTCTAATTTTTCTGTATAGAAGAGAAGAAACTTCAGCTTTTGTGCATTGTGTTCGAAATGAATTCAAGAGAGCAGAAGAAAAATTTACTGTTTGTCCTATTACCTACCTATAATAATACTTCGTGTAAAAACAACCCAGAAGAGAAAAAAAATTCAAGAAGAAATAATTGTTATGAGTAAGAAGTCCAGAGACCCTTACATTAGCTTGTAATAGTTACTATATTGGATTTGAACTACAGTACCTACAGCACGCGTCGCAATCCAGGCAAATGTTCCAATTTTATACGGCATTAAGAGACCTTGATTAATAAAATATGTCCATTGTATCAAGGTTCGAGAGACCAAGAAAGTAAGTCCGAAGCGTTCCCGACCCGAGATTGGTCGTTAAAGACCCGGCCGCCCTCAGCCCGAGTCGTCGTAAACCCGCCGCCGTCGTCGCCGGCCCACAGTTAACACCACCTTCTTCGGTTTGTTACACGTTTTTCTTATTCATTTCATAAATGTTTAATTTGTTAAAACTTTGCACGAATCTTATTTTATCTACCTTTGACTTGGAATTTTCAACCGCCTTAAAAAAATAGGTACTTTAAATAAAAACTGAAAAGAAAAAAGGTAAATTTAAAAAATTAAAAACCCGACTGCTTAAAAAAAACTTTAAATCAAAACTGATAAGAAAAAAACAAGTCCAGTAGTCTAAAATTCTGTTAAATAAGGAACAAAGCTACTTTAGCAGTCAATACCCATCAGATATTCCAGAATTGATCAAATTTTTCCTGGCATGGGTCCCGACAGCTAAAGTAGCTTTGTTTCAATAGAATTATAAACTACTTACGTGATTTTTTTTTTCTTTTTTGATTTAAATTTATTTTTCGAACAGTCGGGTTTTTAATTTTTTAAATTTACCTTTTCATTTCTCGCTTTTTAGTAAGGATTATAATTTATAAGACCAGGAAATACCGCAGCCTTGTCATTTCATTGAGGGAGTTACTTACTTAATTATGTTAATATCGCAGGGAATATTATGTAACTTGCGGTGGTCTATTTTGTATGTCAAAATGTCTACCGATATGTGTAACGCATACAAATTATATAATTAACTAGTACTTATTTTCTGTATTTATTTAAAAAAAGTCATCTTTTGCTATTATATATATATATATATATATATATATGTGTATATATATATCTTAACCTATTAAGTAGCTAGGAGTAAATATAAAATTCAATTAATTACCTTTACTCGTCGACTATCTGTAATTGTCAGGGGCTGCATTGTTAACGTGTGGCTCTAAGATTGCGATATACACAATTGCAGCGTCATACACTTGTCTCATAACTTGTGCTACCTACATAATTCACAAAGATCTAATATGAAGATATCAGAGGCTAACTTCAAATATGATACACTGGCCATGACTCTTCCCGCAGGCCCAGTGCGGATTGGTAGTTGGTATGTAAATAGTTTTTCATCCCACCACCTCGGAAAGTGTAATTTTGCGCTTCGAAATCTGGCTGGAAAATTCTATTTTATTCGCTTGAGCGGCAAAGTAGATTTGAATTTAGAACATCACATATAATGAGTACTCAATATAATTGTAAATTCAAAACGTCATTAAACCTATTTAATGTAACCTCTATGGTGCCAAATTTATGATTAGAACTTTTTAAATTGTGAAAAAATTTAAATTTGGAACCTTCTTGGTTTCTTTGTTTTATTTGCGTGCTTCGCGCCATTCTAGTTTTTCACGTTTTATTGCTTAAATATTTTGTCATTATAAATTGTTTTCTTTTTCATTTTGTCATTTCCTCGCTGAGGTGGGATGAAAAGTTACGTATTGCACTCGAGTGGAAAGATTTTTCACCTTGTGCTCGTTTGTTTCCCTCGCTGACGCTCAGGATTCTAATTTAGAATCACTCGCTGCGCTCGTGATTCAACTTTAGAATCCTTCGCTTGCTCGGTCATCCAAATCGAGCACGCGGTTAAAAAGGAACTTTCCACTCTTGTATAATAAATAACTATTTCATCCCACCACCTCGGAAAGTGTAATTTTGCGCTTCGAAATCTGGCTGGAAAATTCTATTTTATTCGCTTGAGCGGCAAAGTAGATTTGAATTTAGAACATCACATATAATGAGTACTCAATATAATTGTAAATTCAAAACGTCATTAAACCTATTTAATGTAACCTCTATGGTGCCAAATTTATGATTAGAACTTTTTAAATTGTGAAAAAATTTAAATTTGGAACCTTCTTGGTTTCTTTGTTTTATTTGCGTGCTTCGCGCCATTCTAGTTTTTCACGTTTTATTGCTTAATATAATTAACATAACCTAAAAACTGTACAAAAAAATCAACTAAAATGAGTGACATTAGCGACGATGAAGTTTATCTAACGCCAACTGAGTTAACTGAAACAGTTAATAATGCGCAAATGAGCCTTCTCCCTCAGCAATCACGAGAGAAGTATTTGAAACAGTACGATATATTTAACATGTGGCGACTAGCTAAAGGAGCAAAAACTTTCTCCGAAAACGTTTTGCTGGCATATTTTATAGAATTATCTGAGACCAAGAAAGCAAGCACGCTATGGAGTACGTATTCAATGCTAAAATTAACAATTAAGATGAAGAAAGACGTTCATATCGACACCTATCATAAATTAGTGGCATTTTTAAAAAGAGCCTCATCTGGTTATAAACCAAAAAAATCGAAGGTTTTCACAGCATCTGAAATTGCAAAGTTTATTAATGAAGCACCTGATTCCGTATATTTAGCGGCAAAAGTAAGTCAATACGTGTAATTTTTTGTTGTTGATAAAATTGTACATAGTACTTACAATATTTTTAATTTGATTAATTTATTTACGATTATAAATACTTCTTTTGTTACAGGTTGTTCTTATTATTGGTATAACCGGAGCATGTCGAACAAATGAACTTACACTACTTAATGTCAATAACGTATCAAAATATTCTCATAATTCTGATGAATTGCTATTAATTAATGTACTAAATACCAAGACAAAAAAAGACCGCAACTTCGTTATTCGCAAGGAATATGTAAACATTGTTCAGAAATATCAAGCTTTACGTCCTTCTAACACCCCAATTGAACGATTTTTTCTACAATATCGCAACGGAAAGTGTATCCGACAACCTATGGGTCAGAATAAAATTGGCAGTATTCCACGAGAAATAGCAACTTTTCTCGGACTTTTAGAACCCCCGTTATACACCGGTCACTGTTTTAGAAGAACCTCAGCCACACTTTTGGCCGAATCAGGGGCTGATCTTCTATCGCTTAAGCGCCATGGAGGCTGGAAGTCTAATTCGGTTGTAGAGGGATACATAGAGGATTCAATCCAAAGTAAATCAAAAATTTGTAATAGTATCGTGGAGGCCATAACGCTGAAAGAACCTCTGTCAGATTCTTGGTCTCGCCCTTCTACATCTAAAATGAGCCCCCATAAGATTGGAAACAATAGCCCTCTCTCGCCAACATTTACGCCAATAGAATCCAATGAATCGGCACAACTATTTAAAATTACTGATACGAGTAGTTTACCACAAAACAGCGCACAATTCACAAACACCAACATAACATTACCTAACAAAAATATTAAACTTAACATAAGTAACTGTAGCAACGTTACATTTAATATTTCTTAATTATTTTCTACTTCTTATTATTTTCTTCAATTTATAGATTATCTTAATGTGTTTTAATTGAAATAAAAATATTTTGTCATTATAAATTGTTTTCTTTTTCATTTTGTCATTTCCTCGCTGAGGTGGGATGAAAAGTTACGTATTGCACTCGAGTGGAAAGATTTTTCACCTTGTGCTCGTTTGTTTCCCTCGCTGACGCTCAGGATTCTAATTTAGAATCACTCGCTGCGCTCGTGATTCAACTTTAGAATCCTTCGCTTGCTCGGTCATCCAAATCGAGCACGCGGTTAAAAAGGAACTTTCCACTCTTGTATAATAAATAACTATTAACTTCGTTCCAACCGAGTGTTCCACAAACCTCATACAATTTTTTATCCCGTTAAAATAAATTTCGCCCGTGCAATGCCGCTGTTTGTTGAGTGAATAAGTTTGTTTGTTACACCTTTGCGCCCTAATAGCTCAATCCATTATGATGAATTTTGCTAT